TTTAAATTCAATCTTATTTGTAGTTTTTCCATTTATAACCTCCCTAAGTTGTTTTCTGATCATATAGAAAATTCTGTTCATTGTATTGTGTCATAGAAAGGTCACATCACATGGAAATTAAAATACTGACTGTAGTCAATGGCAGTGTCCCTTGGTCCATTACTTGAGTCTATTGGATGGATTGACAGGAAATTTTGTAGACAATGATGATCATGCTTATAGTTTTGGGTGAAATATCAGTAACTAAATATCAACAAATAAATCATGATGTATTTGTTTGCAGTACCTCTAACAGCTGCTGCATTGAAATCTGTACATTCATGCAGCAATTCAAACCTATATTACTCTGAAATGGGCCATTCTGCATAAGGATTACTTTGATACTTTAAGACACTGTATGTGTTGATTTGAATGTTTTTATCGAACTAAGATGTTGCCTGCATGAGTTTTAATTTAAATTGGCGTATTTCTACATGGTGATACTGCTTTTACTTAAAAGATTTGTCTATGTCTTCTACTGCTGCTAATATTAGCATTTAGTTCAAAGCACTGCTGTGCCTCTCTGAGCATTTCCAAGCCTGTTAACATGTTTAACACCTTTCGTTCCTTTCAGTGTAGTTTTGCCTCCATCTCCAGCACAGACATTTTATCCACCACTGCTGGTTCCCCTCATTCAAGTAAGGTTTGTGAGGTGTAATGCTGAGTGAAAAATAACCTATGAGATTGAGTCTTGCTACCCTTTGAGCTGTGTAGCTTTTTCAGTTGTAATGTGTGGTTTTTGTTGGTGTCATTGAAAACACTTGACAAAAATAAAGGTGCTAGAACACTTATGTTACTGTGACAGGCATGAAGCTCACTGGAGCTTTTGCAGCTGTATGTGAGCGAGTACAGGAAATATTTACAGGAATAACTCTTGAGTGAAGATACAGCAACCCCCTGCCCCTGAAGACCACCATGTGTTTCATTTCACTGACACATCCTCAGCAGTAAAGTGACATCCCAGTGATTCCAGCCCTTCACACACAGCTCTCTGTGGCGTGCACATTAGCCACATGCCTCACACCTCTGGATTTAGTGAGGCTTTGTTTCATTAAAACTAAGCCTTTAACAACTTTTGTCCATTCCACTGCTGAGTATCAGTGGCATGCTTTTTGCATTTTCTGTATGCCACAGCTACTATGGCTATCATAGTGGCAGCTTCAGGAGCTGCAGCCCACTTGTGAACAGTTACTCACTACATTAGCATACAGGATTGAATGAAATCACTGTCTCTTGTGTTTTTCAAACCGTTTTTATGCACACAACCCAATCTGGACACGGTAATCCATTTCTTCCATTTATTGACTTAAACAAGTGAGAAACTGAACCACAAGTCGGTTTCATAAATATTGCTAAATCTATCATCCATATTTACTACACAGCATAATATACGCCCACATCTAGTTTTTGAAATAAATGGCAAATGGAGTGACAAACCATCACTTATTGGTAAATTATTACATAGACACTTCCCTATTGATAAACAGCAAATTCAAGCACTAGTGGGTTCAGCGAGCCTATAGTACACATGATAACATAGCAGTGAGGATGACTAAGTGCAAAATAACTGCAGAAGAGGGAAGTGTTGCAAAAAATAAAGAGGATGTGGGCTAAATACAGTTTGTGATGCAGGTAAAGAGCTTATGGTGATAAAACCATTAACACGCATGGGAGTGAGGAGACTCAGCCATCTCTACAGTCAGCAGCCTCAACTTTTGACTTCTTTTCTTCTTTCTTTTCTTCTTTAGCAATTTGAGCTGCAAGAAAAGAACATAAGATGCAGATGTATTAATAAATTAACTGCAAAAAGTTATATTTGTAGCACAATGTTAAGAAAAACTCAAGGTACATGTCATTCAATGGTGTTGCAAAACAAAGCCTAACTTAAACCTAACATTTTTTACACTTAAAGAGCAACAAGGTGTGAACACAGTAATGACATGTTATCTTATTTTAAGTTTATATGGCAAAACACATTAGCAAACAGTTGCTCCAGTATGTTCACTAGCTATTTACTGACTGTCTTAGTGTACATAAAAAAAAAGCTAAAGACTATAAATATCTGGACAGCTGAGAGCAACTACAGAGCCAGATGATAACTACCTGTGACTGAGCTATGATCCACTGTTAATATAAAAATACTGTTTATAGCTCCATTAAAAGCTTAGATGCTTTCATCCAACAGCAGTAAAAGTACACTTAAGCCCTGCATAACACGACATCCAGCTTTTTGTTGCTCCCTCTAGTTTTTCAGACTTTCATATTTTGTGGTTCCAATTTAGCAGCACCATGAGGAAGACCAAGAGATACTACCAAAAGCTTCAGAAACAAGAGTCAAGTTGGATCTTGGGTTTAGAAATTGTTCAAAAATATTTGGGTTTACTGTAAACCATGCAGTTTTTTGAGGAAAATTCCTGTTTTGCCTTAAATAAAAAACAATAGTTCTTTCCAGGAAACTTGTTGGACATGAGGAAACCTGTAAAATAGTGTTCACCATTTTTTCATCCCATATTTAATCATTTTTAGAAATACCTATATAACTTAACCTGTTCAACACTATATATTTGCACTGCAACATCATTTTTTAAAATATATCAGTGACATTCGTTTGATGTAGACTTTAATAAAATGATGTTATACTTATGAAAAGGAAAGCAAAGTAAAAGTGGATATGAGTTTTTGTCCCTCTACCACCAAGCAGGATACTTACGGCGAACCTCCAGTTTACATTCCACAGTGTCTTCTCCGCTGTCATTGACTGCTTTGCACGTATACACCCCCCCATCAAAAGGACAGGGCTTACGGATCTCCAGCGTCAGGACACCGTGCTTACTGAGCATCCGGTACTTGGCTTCATTTGAGATGTCCACCTTGTTTTTGTACCAGGTCACTTTGGGCTAATGGGTTACAACAAAGTGTCACAGTATGTCAGCGGATAGTTTTCACAATCTTCAATACTCTTAACTGTCGCTATAGGCCATAATTTAGTACTGGTCTATTAGTAATGAGCATAATCACTGGATTTAACTGGTGGATGCTGTTTCACTGAGGACAGGGTGTTTATAACTTGCTACACATTAGGGGCATTTGGGCAGGTCATCACAATTGTGTGAGAGTTAAGACTGTTTCAAGGTTAAGCTAAGAATAAGATTTAGGTCAGGGATGGTGTTAGAACTTTAGCCTTAATGGTTAAGTGTTAGGGTAAAGGGCTAAGGCAAGCATTATGTCAGTGTGTCCTAACAATTAAAGTAAGACATTGCTGTGTTATAGGCATTTCTTGTTTATTAGTTTTTTTCTGTAGTTCTGAATAATAAAATCTTTTAAGTCTAAGGTGGTAACAGACGAATGGTCTGAAGTGTTCTGAATGAAATCATAGCGGCTACTGTGATACAACTGAAAGTTCTGGGACAAAAACCTGGAACTTTGGCCTTGAGTTGGCATCATCGAAAGATCATAGAAAATTTCTCATATTAATTTTTTTTTTTTGTTACAACCAAATATATGATGGCAGTTATTACTAAAACACCCTCCTGCTGACAGATAATCAAATCCAAGATCAAAGCTGTGATTTAATTTGATCATAAATATCCTTTGGCTATGTTCAGGTAAAAATACTACTGACCTTTGGTATGCCTCTGACTGAGCAGCTGAGGGTCGCGTTGTATCCTGCTATGATGGGGCGGTTCACTAACGGATGAGTGATTCGGAGCCTCTGAGAAGTCATGTCCCTTGTAGGTGGGTGGTCTGTAGGCGATACCTAACCAGACAGACAGACAGTTGGGTGCTTTTCTCTTCAAATCTCACATACAATATTTCCACCTAACAGGATGTAAAATCTGAACCATAACTGCTTTGTACTAGTTATATGAGTGTAGTCAGAACTAACCTGTTTTCTGAATGAAAACACTGTCTTTTGTGTTGCAGGGCTCTGGGCTGAGGCCCACTGGGTTGATGGCAAAAATTCGGAAGATGTACTCATTCCCCATGATGAGGTCAGACACGACGCAGTGGGTTCGGCGGTACTGATCGAACACTGTATACCACTCCTTCATAGGAATCATAAAATAAAAGTTTCAGTCACTTTTTCCAATTCGATATACTGTATAGTTTGTTTTGTAGATGCAGAGACAGTGACAAATTACAGGACAAGGTGACTAAATGAGTGGAGAAACATAATGAATGCAGTTGCTTTCTGGTGTTTTGCCTTTGCTTTATATGTTTATATGTATACATGTTGATTTTGGACCCTTATCAGATGTTTAAGTGAACACTGCTCTGGTTTTAAACATTTTCTTTGCACATACATGCTCATTTAAAAAATTTTAAAACTGAAGGTGTCAAAAAAAACCCTAAGAAAAACAGTTTGTAATTATAAATGCAAATACTATAGTCTGATGATGAGTTCAGTGGGGAGTTGTAGCCAAGGAACATCTTTTAATGTTAAATACATTGAAAAAATAAATGAGTAATTATATAAAGGCCAGTTTAAATGATAAGGACTTAAAGACATTGCAACCGCCAAAACTGTCTAAACTGAACTCATTGTTTGTTGATTTGAAAATACCTTCATAATCTACCTGAAAATAAGGGAGTTGTGTTTTCACACAGTTTATCTAATTAGGTACAAAAATGAAACAGGATATGGGTAGATTTAAAGTGCATGTGCCCTCTGCACAAAAGTGCATTGTCTTTTACATCCAACAGGTACCTGGTACTTTATTAGTAACATGATGCTCAGCATCCCCAAGATTGCTATAAAGAGATACAAGTGAAATTAATTTGATCTAATAATGACTATAGCGAAACATGAACCGACCACCGAGTTGGGCAGGGAACAATGGCCCTGCGTCACTGTACAGACAATTCAAACCAGGTCGAGGATAAGATTAGGACTTTGCTGGCTGACATTGTTCCTGGCACTCAAGGTAAAGAATGGTAGCAGCTGGAGCTCTTGCCAGCAGGCCCATAATGCATCGCTGTTGGCCCACAGAGCAGACTGTATGCTCAGGGTTGGTGGATTACAGTATGTGTGTCACAAGGGAGGCTAAAATATCCTTCTGTGTCCATGCAGCATTCACTCTCTTTCATGTCCAGACGCAATAATTTGTGTTAATAGACAGGGGAGGTTTGAAAATGTGGGCTTACAGCAGGTCATTTGGTAGTTGTTGAAGGTAAAACTAAAGGCCTGCCATAGATTACTTTCAGGTAGCAAGAAACTCTCAGCTGTAATGACATAATCAAGTTAGGTGCATCCTAATCATTACAAGGGAGAAATTAGATTTTGATGCGACACAAAGAGAAGACCAGTTTATTGCTACTCTGCGCTGCAGCTGCTCATTATTTGCCTGAGCAACATGCTAACATCAGCACTGGAATCCAGTGTTTGGATCATTCTGACAGGCTAATTGAAGGCCTCCTAATGTCATATGAATGTAGATTCTTAGACATTTTCTTCTGGCTCATTGCTGTGAAATTATTTAATTATGAAAATAATTGCATAACAATGTCAGAAACTTGTTTTGAGCTTCTTTTGAATGTAATGTTTGTTTCTAGGATCCAAGAGTATGGAGTCTCACCATAGTCTTCTTGTCAGCCTTCTGAATTCTGTAACCAGTGATTTCACAGTTACCGTTGTCCTTGGGTGGCTTCCACTCCAGTGCCACATTGAAGCCCCAAACATCCATGATCTTCAGAGCCTCAGGAGACCCCGGGAGATCTACAAAGAGCAAACATAAACTCTGCACAACTGTCCACTGGCAAAACTACAGTGTGGAAGGAGGTCACTAGCATAAATCCTGTTACAATTTACTCCATGGAATGTAGTTATTTTTGTTATACCCACAGTGGACTCTCTTTCCTGCTTACCAACAATCTGCAGATTCACACTTGCTGTGTCTTCCACGTTCTCAATCTGCACCTGGAGATCATACTTTCCCGAATGTTTTCTTTCTGTCTTGCGGATGAAGAGGATGGTATCTCCATCACTGTTCCTCACACTAGCGAATGTTGGGTCAAGATGCTCCCCATCTTTGCTCCATGTAACCTTCGGCCTGGGCTTGCCCTGCGTGACCAGAAAATACAAATACAAAAGGGCTTTTGAGTGTACATATCAGGTGCTATTAAATGGGTTGCACTGAAATTTGGCACAAACATCCCTCAAAGGAGTCACTGACTTTGGTGATGCCCTGACCTTCTATGTAGTGCTAAATTAAATTCGTGAGAGTTGGACGTTAACACAAAGTAGCATGCTAGCATGCTACTTTGGCACCACCTTCAGACCAGACAACATTTTTTACTCCAGTGCTGGTAAGAATATAACAAAACTAAATGTGCCATTCAGCTTTTCATTCATCTATTTAGGGCTGGAAGCATTGACTGGTTATAGGAAAATGGGATCCTGGGCATAGACAGGTACTGTAAAAAGTACCTGTAACCTGGGTAAAAATACTATGTATTATAGTATTATGTGTGTAAAATATCATTATTGGTCATCCATTAGTAAAGGTAACGATACCCAGGGAAAGGGGAGGAGAAGAAGAAAAACAAGGAAGTAGGGGGAAGGCTGTAACCTGTCTACACTGTAGTCAGGTAGAGACTGTAGAGCATGTCCTCTTCATATACAGTGCTTATAATGAGCAACGTGCTTGAATGATAGTGTTAATGGAAAAAAAGAAAATTACTAATATATCACTAGAAAGTCTTTTGGGCAGCAACTGTAAGACAGCATATAAAATTGTTATTAGTTATTTGGCAGATATAGGTATTCTGGATAGGATTTAGTAGTTTACACAATCCTAAGAACCTTTTTTTTTATTCCTTTGGCTCTATTATTGCTCTACACTCCAGCCATTTCTTTTGGACACACGGAGGAGGTAATGCTTCAGTCTCTGGATGACAAATTACTAAGTAAGGTACCCTCTTTTATTTGGCTCTTATGAGTGAAACGGAAGCCGGCTGGTGGAGAGTGTGTGTGTGTGTTTGGGCCCACTACATTTGTGTGTTTATTTTGAAATATTGGAACTTGTGTCTAACAGGAAAAAGGGTCAAAGATATTTAAAGAGGAATTGTGATTGTTTACCCTGATTTTGTTGAGTAAATTAAGAAAATTTAGCTCTAACTTGTGTCTGGTTATTGTATACAGTACTCATAGGACCTAAGGGCACATAATGTAGAGAGAGGTTTATTACAGACTTAAGATTTGTCACTTACAGTTATTGTGAGTTAAGTGAACTTGGCCCTTACCTCATACAGTAGGTATAGGTGGGTTACATATCTATGACAGAAAATGTTATCCAAATTGTTCACCCTAGCAGTGTGTAGTCAGTCTCACTGTGTATTTTTCTGTTAGACCGTCTCCCTGTCAGTATCATATAGTGTCACTTAAAGACAATCTAATGGTCCTGTTTTGATGATTTTGAAGTCAAGCATTAATATCAAATGCATGGTAGCACATACAGAAAGCCAAATGAAACAAACATCTGTCAAACATGTACACTGTATAATTTGGAACATACTGAATAAAGACACCAATAAAGCACCCTGGCATTTTAACAATGATTTCAAAAAGGTGTTTGGTATATTTAGCCTAATGAATTATGCACCTGGAAGGGAATCACAATGTTGACAGTGTCTCCAACTTTCTTGATGAGGGTCTGGCGGAGATATCTGGGGAGCCAGATTTTTGGCCGTTCTATGCAATCAAAAACACAAAACACAGAATAAGAGGCCTGAAGGGGACAGACAAACATAAGTAGCTCAAAGATGAGTTTCATATCACTCATCAACAAGAATAAATTTGTGTTTATTCACGCATTATTTCTCTGATGGTGATGGGCTGAGCCAGAGTTGCGGGGGCACTGGGTCCTGCCATGTTGTATGCTCGCACACGGAACTGCAGCTTGTCTCCGGTGGTGAGGTCTCTGATAATCAATGACGTCCTTTCAGTCAGACCTTGAATAGCTGGTATCCATTCATCAGCTGTGACCAAAAAAAAAACCACACATCAAATAAAAATACTGTCAAATGATTCCATTCACTGCAAATGTTAAAGTATAAAAAATAAGCCTTTTATTTTGCTATCAGTTTAATTAGATGCTGATTATGAATTGTAAAAGTACTGAGAACAGAAATGACTAACTACCATTCAGGACATTTGATGCAGATGCTGATGGCCTAGATGGCTGTACTCTCAAGTTCATCACAGTAGGAGTTTTTTAGTGAGAGATTTTTGGATTCTGTTATTTTCTGACTATAGCTTTTGGAAATATGATAGCCCTGCATGGGCCATTAGGTAAATATGGAGCCAACATTTGCTGTACTTAACAGTAATGGACTGACTTGTGAATTTACTTTGATAATGCAGGGGTTGGCTCCAACACTTACTGCCCTCCTTGCAGTACTCCACCCCGTAACCCTCAAGCTCAGCAGAGCCAATCCTCTCAGGTGCCCGCCACTTCAGCGAGATAGAAGTGTCACTAACGTCTTGAACACACAGTCCAGTGGGCTCACTTGTAGGGGCTGAGAGCAAGGCAAACACACTCCGTTAGTCACTTAGATCAGTAATGCACTAAATACGGAATGGATTGCTGATCATGAATTTACAAGTTGTGTAAAGTAACAAAAACCCCAAATCACAAAGCTTTGCAACAGCAAACAAGGTTTCAGTGCTCAAACAAGGATCACTATGATGGGACGTGACATCTAGAGCATGACGACTAAATCATACTTAATACATTCAAGCATGTACACTACTGAAAAATTAGTGATTGGAATACGCAGTCAATTTTCCTATTAATGTCATACACATATAAACAAAATGTAATGTACTGTATATTTCTATGACTTTCATGATAATCCAACATCTCAAAATGAAAAATGCCTACTGCCAGCAGGCTGCAGCTCTGGTTCAGCA